AACAAGTGTATCAAGGCAGACAGTATAGAGTAGCAAGTACAGATCCGGTATAGCAGAGATAAGGATACAAGCAAGGGAGGGGCAACTGAGACTAGACCAAGCTGAGTACGGAACCGCTGATGGTCACGAGGTGCTAGGACCTTGGTGAAGATAGTCGTAATGGCCTCTGAGGCCACCTGTACTACACGAGCTTGACCGCGGTGCTGCAACTCACGCAGCATGAAGTACAGCAGCTGGATGTGCATGGCCCTGCCTTCAAGTCGAGCCTCCTGACGCAGGAGGATCATGGCCCTGATATCAGCAAAAAGGACCGGGGCAGACCTAGGCCGCTTACCTAAGTCTGTGGGCAAGAACGTCAGCCAACGGAGCTCTTGAGCGGCCATAGCCCCAGCGTAGATCTCTGCCTCACAATTAGACTAAGCTACAGACGATGACCTAGTGGAAATCCACGAGACTACACTCACACCAAGACCTGTGAGGACCGGAGCGTCTCCAAGTTGTCAGTTCACGACGCGTTTGTGTATCCAGTGAGAACCACTGGCCGCCGACCTCCAAGCACAAACCTCAGGCATGATGTACTCGCCAGACACCGATTGGTGCTCTGGTCGGTATCCGCCAGTCGCAACAAAGCGAGTAAGGATACTGAGAGGGTACGCTAGATCTTGGCGAGTGCACGCCATCAGGTACATGAGGTACCCCACCAGCTCTGCGTATAGACCACTATGCTCGACCTGCTCACCGGAAGTAGGAGTTGAGAGGTTCTGATCTACAGACAGAGGGGTTGGGCTGTGCTGACAAGGACTGAAAGCCACACCGCAGGAGGATCTGCTGCACAATACGAGAGTGGGAGAGTGTGATCGTGCGTGCTGCATGGTCACGAAAGATCTCCAAGTCTAGATAGCGCCGTAGCTCTCCCACGTCTATACAGGCGTGTTGCTTGAGCAGCTCAGCCTTCACGGAGGCCAGTGCGACTCTGTCTGGAGTAGCAAAGAGAACGTTGTCTACATAGACAAGTATCTATAACATAGTCTAACGAGCACGAACAAAGTGCGAGGGGTCAGCAGAGGACGGAAAGAACTCGAGAGCCACGAGTGTAGTGCGTAGCATATCGTGCCACTGACGGGACGCCTTGCGCAGACTGTAGACAAGGCGGCGCAGGCTCCACTGGATCCCATGAGCGAAGGATCTGGTGAAGCCTAATAAGCGCCGCAGGAAGATCTGCTCGTGTAGGCCGCCTTGCAAGAAGGCTGTCAAAAAGTCCTGCGAGTGGAGCTCGTAGCCACGCTGTACGGCTACATGGAGGCTTACCCGAAGAGAAGTCATCTTTGGGCTAGGGGAGAAGGTCTAGAAGAAGTCCACACCGTCTCGCTGACTGACGCTTCTGGCCACATACCGCGCCTTGAACTACAGCAGCTCTCCAGGTGGGCGCTTCGTCTTATAGATCCACATGCCATCAACTATGTTCGCTCCAGATGGAGTAACTACGTCGGCATAAGTGCCAGTGGATCTATAAGATGCCATCTCAGTCTCCATGGCTTGTATCCAGTGGGCTGCCCAGGCACCCAAGATCGCCTCAGCGTACGAGCGCAGGGTAGGGATGTCCAAGGCGTTCGGTTCACCCTCGAGGGACACAAGCATGGCGCAAAGATGAGGTACAGGATCCGCAAAGTGAGCTAACTCGTACTGCCTATCCTCTAGAACGTTACTGCCAAGGGCAGGTGAGCCCCCGATGAACGGAGGACAGCCAGGGTCAGAGACCAGAGCGGAAGAGTAGTCAAGGCAGTGGCTCGCGGCAAAGTCAACAACAGCACCGACAAGGGCAGAGACACCCTCAGAAGGAGCTGTAGGGTCAATAACAAGCGAGGCAAGAAAGCGGGAGTCGACTCGATGAGCAGTGCGAGCATCATCAGAGGGAGTGGCGTGAAAGACACCAGACGAGGCTGAGTGGGGTGGGAGGGGAGCGGCAGGAGGAGGAGGGGCAAGGAAGAGAAGGGGAGGAGGACCATGAGTGCCACAGTGAGGAGAGCGAGCATAAAAGGAGATAGACTCATCAAACATAGCGTCACAAGAGCGAAATAAGCGGTGCTCTCCTGGGTGGTAGAACAACGCCTCAGGAGCGTTGAGAGGAAACCCGAGGAAGACACAGGGGACAGTGCGGACTGATAGCTTGTGTGCACCGTGGGAGCAGATGTGAGCCAGGCAGCCCCAGACGTGGAACGCTGACACGTCAACGGGAGACCCAATCCAGTGGAGGGTCGGTGAAACCTGTGGCTGCGAGGAGCGAGACCACAGGATAAGCTAGTGAGTCGCATAGCGCATCGCGAACGACCACATAAAATGGGGGGAACCAGCATGGACCATGGAGGTGAAGGCCACCTCCATGATCAGGCCGATGTGTCGCTCAGCTACCCCATTCAGCAGCGGCGAGTCCGCAAGGGTGAACGTATGGGTGATGCCCTCCGCACAACAGAACGTACCAAGGCGGCCGGAGGTGAACTTGCCACCAAGATCGGAGTGAAGAAGGAGCACATGGACGGCAGGGAGTGTCGAGTGCGGACGACACGGAGGGTTGGAGGGCGTCAGGCACGTTTGCCTTCCATACCAATGGGAATACCGTGGTAAACCGTGTGAAGTCATCGACCACCACTAGGAAGTAGCGCTCCCTGCGAGGCCACTGGACCGGGGCGGGGCCCCAGACGTCCATGTGAAGAGTCTGTAAAAGAGGAGTGAGGGGTGGCGCATTGCCGGCCCTCGATGCAGGAGGTGCACGCGGGGGCTAGCGAGGCGAGGAGGGTGGGGAGCGATGCGGGGAGACCAGTAACTAGACCCTGGTGTACCATGTGCGGGAGAGCAGGGTGACCTAGGCGGTGGTGCCACAGGAGTGCCGGGTGGGTGAGGGAGCAACGGAAGTAGGACGTAACATGGGTGGATGCGGCTGCCGGGGGGGACTCCGTGTGCAGTGTGAAGAGATCAGAGGCAGGGACGCGGTTTAAGGTGGCAAGACGGGCACATGTGGCATCGTGTGTACAAGCTGCATATCTCTTGTGATCAGGGAACGTGGTGGTGACACCAAGGTGCTGGATATGATTGACACCAACCAGGTTCCTGGAAAACGTGGGGATATGCAAATTGGTAAGGGAGCTAGATGGGACAGGTGGACAAGGGAGAGGCATAGTGCTGCAGGTTACAACTGCTGCAGGTGAGTCTGAATGCAGTGCGGTCCCGAAAGAAGCCGCGAGACGCGCCAGAGTCCACTGTGAAGGAGAGGGCCGCTCAGCAGGGGCCGACAAGGAGCCTGGTCTACACAGGCCAGAGGCTCCTAGACTACACACAGCAGTAGGGCCTAGACCCCTTGACCCCAAGCCCTCGGGCCCCCAGAGAAACCACGCCAGCCCTAGGGCAGCGACCGCCCCGGGGCCCAACATCCAGGACCTCCACCGTGCCCAACACTCCCGGGACCCCACCACGGCTGCTGTCACTGCTGCTACTGCCGCCGTTGCCACCACTGAGGCTGCTGATATTGCTGCAGTGCGCACCAGGCAGCACTGGATCATACCTCGAGGTTGCGGAGGTGTGCAACGAGGTCGAGGATGGTGGGGAAGGAGGCCAGGTTGGCGAGGAACCAGGGAGCGAAGCCAACCGCCCGGCCTTCGGCGTCCAGCCAAAGGATAGACCCTGACGAGGTCATCATGCCGGCAGGGGAGGCAGCAAGGGACTCCAGAAACGAGGAGGAGACTAGTGGGAGGCGCTAGTGGCTGCAGGAGCACGAACGGCAGTGGCGGCAGTGGTGGCTGTGGCCGGAGCGGCGGTCTGCCAGCTGGCGGGCATGGAAGGCACAAGGCAGCAGGCGGCCAGTGGCAGGCAGGCAGCAGGAGCTGGCGGCAGTAGCGAGCAGCAGGGGGGAGCAGCAAGCAATACGCCAACGGCAGCAGCAGGCAGGAGGCAGCAGCTTGCGCGGCAACTGGTAGCTGGCAGCAAGGGGTTGGCGGCAGCTGGTGGCTGGCTGCTGGCGGCTGGCTCCTGGTTGCTGGCGGCCAGTGGCTGGGCGAGCTGGCAGCGAGGTGCTGGCGAGCTGGCAGCGTGCTGCTGACAGCGAGCAGGCGGCAAGCTTACAGCACTCTGCTGGCGGCGAGCTGGTAGCGGCGAGCTGGCAGCGGCGAGCTGCTAGCTAGCCACTGGCGGCGAGCTGGCAGCGAGCAGGCTGGCGGCGAGCTGGCAGCAGCTCGCGCTGCTGGTGGCGGCGAGCTGGCAGCAACTCGCGCTGCTGGTGGCGGCGAGCTGCGGCTGAGCTGGCAGCGGCTAGCACGCTGCTGGCGTCGGCGGCCTGCTGGCGGTTGCGAGGGAGCGGTAGGGGGGCAGCGGGCGAGCGCTCTGGCAGGAAAATGGGGGCAGCGCGAAGGCAGGGCGGCGGCCTAGAACTAGAGCGTAGGCTATGGCGCAGGCTAGAGGGACAGACTAAAGCCTAACCTAGGCTAAGGAGGTAAGCGAGGGTGGGAGGGGAGTTGGTAGCGCCTAGGGAGGAAGCGTGACAGCTAGGAGCGAGACCTAGCTCGATACCTTGTCGTGAGGAGAAAAGATGTCTAGGGCAATCATAGGTGGTGAGTTTTGTCCAAGTGTTGAACCCTATAAGAACTGATTCTACCTAGGCTATAGTTTCTATATATATTCCTAACACATATATGAACTATAACAACCAAACCCATTTTTGTTTGGGCAGGAATATGTCCTAAAGCGTCAGCCCCTGGCAGAATATTGTCAAGATTTCATTTGAACTGCTCTTCTCGATTTGTTTTGAGAACATGTGTCGAATCAGAGTACTTTCTTGGGTTTCCCTTTCGAATCAGTGTACGGTACCTTGAAACCTCCACTCGGGTCGGTCGGACCTGACGGGCCACACACTTCATATTCCTGGAGTTCGCTGCCGTTTAGGACACTTCGAGACCCGGATGGGGGCGAGGTGGTGTGTAGAATTCATGTCCAAAAGTAGGTTGGTCTGAATATCCAGTTCAATTCAGCACCCAGGTCCGCCCAAACAAACCATGGGTGATTAGGATTGGCAGGTGTTTTATCCGAGGGAAAACGGTATGTAGGGTATTTCATCCTTCTGTCATTTTTCCCTTTCTCAAATTTCCAAGTGGTTTCTGCCTTCGCTCTTTGAGTCGCGGGCTTTAACGCGTCACATTGAGTGGGTTCTGTACCTCCGTTGCTTCACAGACAAAGTTGAAAGAACCTTAAGCAGCACTTTCTCATTGAGTGGCTTCTGCACCGCCCCATCCATGCCGGCCTCAGTGGCACGGGCAGCAACGGTGCTGTCGACATCTGCTGACATGGCCACCACATGCGTGCGCTGCTGCCGTTGTGGGCCCCCCTCCAGGCCCTCAGCACCCCCCTCCAGCAGCTCTGAGATGCTCTCCATGCGCCCCGCGCCCCCCTCCATGGCGCGCAGCTGGGCTGTGGCCTGGTAGCCGTCCATGAGGGGCATGTGGAGGTCCATGAGCACGAGGCGGAAGGAGTGCGGCGGCTGCAGCAGCAGCAGAGCCGCCTCGCCTGACTCTGCCAGTGTGACGTCAGCACCGTATCGCCCCAGCGTGCTCGCTGCCACCCGCCGGTTTATCACATTGTCGTCCACCACCTGGAGGAGGGGGGTTGGGGGGAATGGGGAGGATTGAGAAATACGAAGATGTACACAAGGCTCATCCCATTGGCGTCCACCACCTGGTTGATAGAGGGGGATGACGATGGATGGGGAGAGGAGACACAGGGTTTAGCACAGGCCGTTGGGAGGGGAGGGGGTGGGGGGTAGATGATGGAAATATGGGATCTTGATCTGATGTCACAGTTGGGGATGCGAGGAAACCAAGGGAGAGGGGGAAGTATCAGTTGGGGATGTGAGGAAACGAAGGGAGAGGGGGAAGTATCAGTTGGGGATGTGAGGAAACGAAGGGAGAGGGGGAAGTATCAGTTGGGGATGTGAGGAAACGAAGGGAGAGGGGGAAGTATCAGTTGGGGATGTGAGGAAACGAAGGGAGAGGGGGAAGTATCAGTTGGGGATGTGAGGAAACGAAGGGAGAGGGGGAAGTATCAGTTGGGGATGTGAGGAAACGAAGGGAGAGGGGGAAGTATCAGTTGGGGATGTGAGGAAACGAAGGGAGAGGGGGAAGTATCAGTTGGGGATGTGAGGAAACGAAGGGAGAGGGGGAAGTATCAGTTGGGGATGTGAGGAAACGAAGGGAGAGGGGGAAGTATCAGTTGGGGATGTGAGGAAACGAAGGGAGAGGGGGAAGTATCAGTTGGGGATGTGAGGAAACGAAGGGAGAGGGGGAAGTATCAGTTGGGGATGTGAGGAAACGAAGGGAGAGGGGGAAGTATCAGTTGGGGATGTGAGGAAACGAAGGGAGAGGGGGAAGTATCAGTTGGGGATGTGAGGAAACGAAGGGAGAGGGGGAAGTATCAGTTGGGGATGTGAGGAAACGAAGGGAGAGGGGAAGTATCAGTTGGGGATGTGAGGAAACGAAGGGAGAGGGGGAAGTATCAGTTGGGGATGTGAGGAAACGAAGGGAGAGGGGGAAGTATCAGTTGGGGATGTGAGGAAACGAAGGGAGAGGGGGAAGTATCAGTTGGGGATGTGAGGAAACGAAGGGAGAGGGGGAAGTATCAGTTGGGGATGATGAGGAAACGAAGGGAGAGGGGGAAGTATCAGTTGGGGATGTGAGGAAACGAAGGGAGAGGGGGAAGTATCAGTTGGGGATGATGAGGAAACGAAGGGAGAGGGGGAAGTATCAGTTGGGGATGTGAGGAAACGAAGGGAGAGGGGGAAGTATCAGTTGGGGATGTGAGGAAACGAAGGGAGAGGGGGAAGTATCAGTTGGGGATGATGAGGAAACGAAGGGAGAGGGGGAAGTATCAGTTGGGGATGTGAGGAAACGAAGGGAGAGGGGGAAGTATCAGTTGGGGATGTGAGGAAACGAAGGGAGAGGGGGAAGTATCAGTTGGGGATGTGAGGAAACGAAGGGAGAGGGGGAAGTATCAGTTGGGGATGATGAGGAAACGAAGGGAGAGGGGAAAGTATCAGTTGGGGATGTGAGGAAACGAAGGGAGAGGGGGAAGTATCAATTGGGGATGTGAGGAAACGAAGGGAGAGGGGGAAGTATCAGTTGGGGATGTGAGGAAACGAAGGGAGAGGGGGAAGTATCAGTTGGGGATGTGAGGAAACGAAGGCAGAGGGGGAAGTATCAGTTGGGGATGTGAGGAAACGAAGGGAGAGGGGGAAGTATCAGTTGGGGATGTGAGGAAACGAAGGGAGAGGGAGAAGTATCAGTTGGGGATGTGAGGAAACGAAGGGAGAGGGGGAAGTATCAGTTGGGGATGTGAGGAAACGAAGGGAGAGGGGGAAGTATCAGTTGGGGATGATGAGGGAGGCAGTTGTTGACGCAGCAAATGCCAAGATCCTCCATAAATCTCCTAAGCCAATGCTCCTCACCAGGATCGCCATGCCCTGCAGCATCTCCTTGAGAGCCTCCTTGGCACTCTGCACCCTCTCACCCCCCACCTTCACTCCACTTGTGCTCTCCCCCCCTCCACACCCGTGCTCGCCCTCGCTCACACTCCAGCTTCTGCTGGGGTGAGGCCCGCAGCCACCGCTAGCGTCACTACCAACAGAGGTAGCAGCATAAGCAGCAGCAGCAGACGAAGCAGCAGCAGTAAGAGGAGAAGGCGCAGCGGCAGCAGTGAATGGCATAGCGACGTGCAGAGTGGTGCCATGGCCCTCCGTGCTGAGCAGACCAATGCTGCCACCCAAAAGGGACACCTGGAACAAGTTGGGTAGGGGAACGGTGTAGACTAGCAGACCAGTTGAGCCATGCACACACAACTTGCTAGAGATAAAATGTGCAATGATGAGAATATTTTCTATAGAAGGAAGAAGGAAGGGAGGAAGACTTGTGTCGAAGGCTAGTATTGTGCCAAACAGTCACCAGCCGCCAAACGCTCACCAGCTGCCAAACGCTCACCAGCTGCCAAACACTCACCAGCTGCCAAACGCTCACCAGCTGCCAAACGCTCACCAGCTGCCAAACACTCACCAGCTGCCAAACGCTCAGCAGCTGCCAAACACTCACCAGCTGCCAAACACTCACCAGCTGTCGCGACAAGTGAAGGCTCATCCCGCTACCGCCATGATCGTGTCTCTTCTGGTGTGGCTGAGGGGTGGGCGGTGCATTGCAAAGAGGCGCATTGGTGAAGCAACAGCTGCGGGTGATGCACTCCTGTTTCACGTCAGCCTATTCGTCCGAGGTTCAAAAGTGAGAAGAAAACCACGATCGCCATTGCACTCCTAGTTTGGCCGATTAAGGGACCCCTGTTTCGTTTGTTTACATGGCATGGCGACCTCATCTCGGGCTAAGAACCGCTCGTGAAACACGCATACCGTGACGCTCATAAAGATAAGGTTAAATTCATCTCATGTACTTCAGGCAAGGTTCCTCATTACCTAGTCAACCCGCCCGACCTCGTTCTTAGACACCTGCTGCACGGCTCGCCTGCATGAGCGCTCACCTGCGTGAGCGCTCACCTGGATGAGTGCTCACCTCCATGAGGGCTCACCTGCATGAGCGCTCACCTGAATGAGCGCTCACCTGAATGAGCGCTCACCTGCATGAGGGCTCACCTGCATGAGCGCGCACCTGCATGAGCGCTCACCTGCATGAGCGCTCACCTGCACGAGCTCCCACCTGCATGAGCGCGCACCTGCATGAGCGCTCACCAGCATGAGCGCTCACCTGCATGAGCGCTCACCTGCATGAGCGCTCACGTGCATGAGCGCTCACCTGCACGAACGCTCACGTGCATGAGGCGGTCACCTGCACGAGCGCTCACCTGCACGAGCGCTCACCTGCACGAGCGCTCACCTGCACGAGCGCTCACCTGCACGAGCGCTCACCTGCATGAGCGCTCACCTGCACGAACGCTCACCTGCACGAGCGCTCACCTGCATTAGCGCTCACCTGCACGAGCGCTCACCAGCATGAGCGCTCACGAGCATGAGCGCTCACGAGCATGAGCGCTCAGCTGCATGAGCGCTCACCTGCACGAGCGCTCACCTGCATGAACGCTCACCTGCATGAGCTCTCACCTGCATGAGCGCTCGCGTGCATGAGTGCTCGCCAGCATGAGTGATCACCTGCATGAGCGCTCACCAGCATGAGCGCTCACCTGCATGAACGCTCACCTGAATGAGCGCTCACCTGCATGAGCGCGCACCTGCACGAGCGCTCACCTGCACGAGCGCTCACCTGCATGAACGCTCACCTGTATGAACGCTCACCTGTATGAGCGCTCACCAGCATGAGCGCTCACCAGCATGAGCGCTCACCAGCATGAGCGCTCACCTGCACGAGCGCTCACCTGCACGAGGCGCTCACCTGCACGAGCGCTCACCTGCACGAGGCGCTCACCTGCACGAGCGCTCACCTGCACGAGCGCTCACCTGCAGGAGCGCTCACCTGCATGAACGCTCACCTGTATGAACGCTCACCTGCATGAGCGCTCACCTACATGAGCGCTCACCTGCGTGAGCGCTCACCTGGATGAGTGCTCACCTGCATGAGCGCTCACCTGCATGAGCGCTCACCTGCATGAGTGAGCGCTCACCTGCATGAGCGCTCACCTGCATGAGCGCTCACCTGCATGAGCGCTCACCTGCATGAGCGCTCACCTGCATGAGCTCTCACCTGCATGAGCGCTCACCTGCATGAGCGCTCACCTGCATGAGCGCTCACCTGCGTGACCGCCCACCTACATGACCGCTCACCTGCATGAGCGCTCACCTGCATGAACGCTCACCTGCATGAACGCTCACCTGCATGAACGCTCACCTGCATGAATGCGTGGAAGACATCAGCTTGCTCCTCCTCCACTATCCCACACCCCGTGTCCTCACACGACAGCAGCAGCACTAATCGCCTGTCAGCATTCCCCTCGGACACCACGCTCCCTTCAGTGCAAGGCCCACACAACCACTGCCTCGCTGCATCCATCCATGCACCCTTGTTGCCACCTCCCCCACATGCACATCTTTCACATGCACCTCCCTCACATGCACCTCCATCACATGCACCTCCCTCACATGCACCTCCCTCACATGCACCTCCCTCACATGCACCTCCCCCGCATGCACCTCCCCCGCATGCACCTCCCTCGCATGCACCTCCCTCGCATGCACCTTCCTTGCATGCACCTCCCTCGCATGCACCACCCTCGAATGCACCCCCTGCACATGCACCCCCCCCACATGCACCTCCCCCACATGCACCTCCCCCGCATGCACCTCCCCCGCATGCACCTCCCCCGCATGCACCTCCCCCGCATGCACCTCTCCCGCATGCACCTCCCTCGCAAGCACCTCTCTCGCATGCACCTCCCTCACATGCACCTCCCTCACGTGCGCCAACACAAGGCCCCCCTATACCATGGCCATCCCCCTCACCCTCATCTGCATGCCTCAACAAAGCTCTCTCCGTGCCACCCTCCCTCAAAACAATGTTGCCCCTTCCTTCCTTCTCCCTATCTCCACTCTTCTCCAACGCCAAACGTCCATGTGTCTCTCCTCTCGTGCCCTCAGCTTCCCCTGGTTGCCTTGCTGCATCCCCCCCTTCACCTCTCCCCCAGGCCTCACCACTGAGCCCTTCACTGCGCACTTGCTCTGCACTTGCCCCCTCTCCCTCCTCGCACTCCCTCCGCGCCTCATCCTCCTCACACTCCCTTAGCCTCTCGCCCTCCTCCCCCACCTGACTCTCCCCATCCTCCCCCCCCCACCACTCCCTCTCCGTGACCATGCCCGTGTGCAGGGGGCATGCGAGCAGCCACGCATTGAGCGAGGCCAGCCGCTCCTGCAGCAGCCGCAGCGCCCACACGCCCATCACAGCCGCTGCCAGCCCGCGCTGCTCCACCTGTTCCCTGAACGACACCCTCGCCGCGCCGTGCTTCTCACTGCCACGCGCAGCAGCTCTGGTAGCAGCGGCGGCAGCGTTGGCAGCAGCTGGGGTGCGTTGAGCCACGTGGCAGCCCAGTGATCGAAGGTGAGCGGGGATGTCGGTGGTGGCGGGGAGGCACTGCAGCCGCACACACACCCCTCCACTGGACGTGAACTTGATGGCGTTGTCTGCAGCAAGCACAGCGAGCGGCAGGCACGGAGTGCATAGGACAGGAGGAGGGCAAACAAGAGATCAAATAATCAAACGTGCTGTGCTCCGAAATCGAGCAACCAGAGGAAGATCAATGGTTGGTAACAAGTGCTCAGCTGAGGACTCGAGTGGCTCACCAACGATGCTGTCCACCACTTGCTGCAGGCGCAGGTAGTCCCCCACCAGCACCTCCGGCACACTAGCGTCCACATGGCATGTGACTGGGCATGGGCACATGAAGAAATATTCAGAGAAAAAACACATGTGCATGTTAGAAACATGAGAGGAGCTATCTAGTAGAAAGCGATAAGGAAAACAAGAAAGGGGTGAAGATGGAAGGGGCAAAGTTGGAAAGGACCGATGAAGGGTGCTCTCCTTACAGTCCAGGTGTCGAGCCTGTGCGGCGTGTGCATGGGTGTGCAGCGCCTCGCGCAGCCAGGAGCGCAGGTGGAAGGGCAGGGTCTCGAGCTGCAGGTGGCCAGCCTCGGCCTTGGAGACGTCGAGCACGACGTTGATGAGCGCCAGGATGCGCTCCACCTCGCCCACCGCCGTGCCCACGTCCTCCCGCTGCCCCTCGTCCACCTGGCCCTCCGCCAGCTCCTCCAACATGCCTGCTCGGGGCGCCGCACCCCATCACAGAGTGAGTCATGCACACCATAATGACTAGTGCTCTCACAACATACACAACAACCTCCATGACTCAAAATCACAAGCTACATGATCATCTCTGCAACTGTTTCGAGTAAAAAATACAGCAAGCCAGTCCCACGATCATCAAGTAGCACCCATGGATATTCACTGGACAGGCCGGGGTCCAGCCGGCCCGGCCCGAGCTCGCATTTTGCCGGGCTCCGGCCTCTCTTTGACTCCGGCCCGGCCCGAGCCCTGCGCTGTCCGGCCCGTCCTGTGGGCAGGCTTAGCCCGGTTCACCATGTAATCACGGGCCTCGTGCCGGCCTGGAAGCAGGTCCGGCCAGAACCGGCCTGGCCCGTGCAGGTCAGGACAGGCCGGCCCGGCATGAGGCCCGGCCAGTGAACATACCTGTGAATGACTCACACCAACCATTCCCACGCACCCCTGAGGCCGATGATCGGCGTGCGGAGCTCATGAGCCGTGTTGGCAATGAAGGCACTCTTGTTCCTCTCAGCCTCCTGCGTCTTCTCCTTGAGCATCTCCAGCGCCACCGTCTTCTCCCGCACGGCCCGCGTGTTGCACGCCACGCTCACGCCGATGGCGGCCAGCAGCGCCGCCACCACCACTATGACGGTGGCCAGCAGATTGGCCGTCCAGCTGTGCGCCGTGTCCGAGCCGCCGAAGCTGGCAGAAGAGGGGCGGAATGGGGGTTGGAGGGGCGGCATGGGGGGTGGAAGGGCGGCATGGGTGGTGGAAGGGCGGCATGGGGAGTGGAGTGGCGGCATGTGGAGTGGAAGGGCGGCATGGGGAGTGGAGGGGAGGCATGGGGAGTGGAGGGGCGGCATGGGGAGTGGAGGGGCGACATGGGGAGTGGAGGGGCGGCATGGGGAGTGGAGGGGCCAAGAATTGGCGGGGCAGGACGAGGAGTGTGGAAGCTCAATCTACCCGTAGAAATGGAGGGAAGAAGAGGGAGGCGGAATGCTCTGAGGAAGACGACCAACGAGGTGCAAGGACGAAATAGGTGTGAGGACCAACGAGGTGCAAGGACGAAATAGGTGTGAGGACCAACGAGGTGCAAGGACGAAATAGGTGTGACGACCAACGAGGTGCAAGGACGAAATAGGTGTGAGGACCAACGAGGTGCAAGGACGAAATAGGTGTGACGACCAACGAGGTGCAAGGACGAAATAGGTGTGAGGACCAACGAGGTGCAAGGACGAAATAGGTGTGACGACCAACGAGGTGCAAGGACGAAATAGGTGTGAGGACCAACGAGGTGCAAGGACGAAATAGGTGTGACGACCAACGAGGTGCAAGGACGAAATAGGTGTGACGACCAACGAGGTGCAAGGACGAAATAGGTGTGACGACCAACGAGGTGCAAGGACGAAATAGGTGTGACGACCAACGAGGTGCAAGGACGAAATACGCCTTCGAACCAGCAAATGACTTTGAGGCTACTCACCGGCACCACATCTGGTAAGATCGCGAAGTGTCAGTGACATTGATTTGCTGCACGGACTTGTAGCGGTGTGGCTGCAGCATGGTTTCGTTGGAGGGCGGAATGAGCTTTGACACTTGCATGGGATCGCCCTGAGGCAGGTCGCCCACGCCGTACAGCAGGCGACGGGCAGGCGAGGTGCCGTCAATGGAGACGGCAGAGGCGGCGGAGGAGAAGGCGAGAGTGTCAGTGGAGGTGACATCATAGACCTCAAGGGCATACTCCACACCTGAAGTAGGAAGAGGAGAACACGCTTTTATTTTTTCTTTTGAAATAAAATGGTGAAGCTTGGACAAGTTATAGTTCATCTAAAGACGTCAACACTACATTGGAGTAGGCATTCTAAAAGGAAGCAGCGCGCAACTAGTCGCAGCAGCGCGCACCTAGTCGCAGCAGCGCGCACCTAGTCGCAGCAGCGCCCACCTAGTCGCAGCAGCGCGCACCTAGTCGCAGCAGCGCGCACCTAGTCGCAGCAGCGCCCACCTAGTCGCAGCAGCGCGCACCTAGTCGCAGCAGCGCCCACCTAGTCGCAGCAGCGCGCACTTAGTCGCAGCAGCGCCCACCTAGTCGCAGCAGCGCGCACCTAGTGGCAGCAGCGCGCACCTTGCCGAAGGACCTCGCTGATGATGAAAGCGGCGAGGCTGTTGAAGTCGATGGACGCCGCGATGAGCCCGATGAGCGCCGCCTGCCGCTCCGCCAGGGGGGACGATGTGGTCACACCGTCCTTGAAGATTGGGAATCCCATGCCTGGCAGCAGATTGGTGGGGGGGGAGGGGGGGCGTTTAGGGGGCGTCAAGACCAATCACTCGTGCTTCGTCCCACTCACCCATGGCACTCTCGTTCTCCCATACCACTCCCACTCACCCATACCACTTCCACTCACCCATGCCCCTTCCACTGACCCACGCCCCAGCCACTCACCCATGCCCACTTGCCCATTGTCGAGCACGTAGGGCAAGCTGAGCAGGTTGACGCCCAGCTCGTGCATGCGGTTGAGCTGCGGGCCGTACGAGGGGTGCGTGCGCACGTTGACACAGGTAGACGTCATCTCCAGCAGCGGCAGCGGGGGGTTTTCTTGAAACCACACGCGCGAGTTCATGTACCAGTCCGCCACCGGGGCCGGCTTCCCCAGTATGTCCAGCAGCTGGCAATGCGCCTGACGCTCAAAGGCCGCCCTGCAGGGAGGGAGAAGGGAGAAAGCGGAGAGCCTTATGGGTATGAAGCAGCTGATGTGGACAAGGGCACTCGCATGGCAATCGAGTTGGAAGGGAGATAAGCAGCAGCAACAAAAGGCATCCGAGCACCAAGGCATGCTGCGATGCGCACGAGAACATGACGCGATGCAGGGGGGAGGGAGGGGAGAGAAAGTGGGGGGAGGAGGGAGGGAGGGGAGGGGGAAAGCGCACCTGTCGGAGCCGTTGATGACGGCCATATAGCCCACGGCGTGCACCCAGGGCTGCGCGGGGATGGTGCGCTCCACGAAGTGCACAAAGCGCCTCTGCGTCATGCAGCTGCCCACCGCCCAGGGGTTCCTCCGCACGCCGCCAAACACCGTGGCCAGACCCGCCAGCACCTGATGGGCGCATGGATGGGGCATGGATGGCGCATGGATGGGGCATGGATGGCGCATGGATGGCGCATGGATGGGGCATGGATGGGGCATGGATGGGGCATAGATGGGGCATGGATGGGCCATGGATGGGCCATGGATGGGGCATGGATGGGGCATGGGTGGGGCATGGATGGGGCATGGATGGTGCATGGATGGCGCATGGATGGGGCATAGTATGGGCATGGATGGGGCATGGATGGGGCATGGGTGGGGCATGGATGGGGTATGGATGGTGCATGGATGGCGCATGGATGGGACATGGATGGGGCATGGATGGGGCATGGATGGGGCATGGATGGTGCATGGATGGCGCATGGATGGGGCATGGATGAGGCATGGATGGGGCATGGGTGGGGCATGGATGGGGCATGGATGAGGCATGGATGGGGCATGGGTGGGGCATGGATGGGGCATGGATGGTGCATGGATGGCGCATGGATGGGATATGGATGGGGCATGGATGGGGCATGGATGGGTCATGGATGGGTCATGGATGGGGCATGGATGGGGCATGGGTGGGGCATGGGTGGGGCATGGGTGGGGCATGGGTGGGGGTGGTTACGCAGCACGTGGCTTACAGCACGCGGCTTACAGCACGCGGCTGGTGGTTTCCGCGTTTCGGTGGAGCACAGGACGTTACACGGTGCACCCAGTTCCCTCCTCCACCCGTCCCCCCTGGCCGCTAACCACCCTGTCGGCTCCAAAGGTGGCCCTCGCGAGGGCCGTAGATGCTGCGGAATCATCTTTCGCACGAGGTCGCACTCAAATCGTGTGTCGGGCATGCCCTCACTGCTCAGTGAGGCTTACAGCCGCAGTTCTTTTTCCGCCACGCATTACTCAGCCGCCCAGACATCGTATCCAGCCAGGAGTCGAACCCTTGATACCAGTGCGACGCACCCGCGCGCCCTACTGACTGGGCCGAAACGCGGCGGCTTCTCAGGGGACGCAGCGGGTGGTATCGCATTTCGTGCAGCGTCTTCGATTCGTCCCGCATGGACTCAATCATTCGCTTCCCGCCAAGTCACTCCTGCCGCGCTCGCATGCGGACGACCTGGACGACCGCGGCGACGCACCCAGGCTCTGCTTGCGCCACGCGCATTACTCAGGGCTTCTACGGGCCTCCTCGGAAAATGTCGACAATGTCGCCATGTCGCTGCTGAGCACCTCTGTGTCCACTCCACACCCCCGCATCGATGGAGGAAGAATCGTGCACGATACGTCACGTCGCATCGGCAAACCATCATCTCCCCCCACCCCCCACCCCCACCGCCCCCCCCAGCCCCCACCCCGCTTCCCCCTCTCCCACGATGTGTCACCATCCGTTCCACCCTCGTCGCATCGCAGCCCTTCCCCTCGCGAAGTTCCCAGCGGACTGGCTGGGCGCATCGCGCACCACTGTGGGACAATGCGGGATAGAAAATGCGGGCCCTTCAATGTGGGGCCCTAAAAGCGGGACCCTAAAAGCGGGACCCTAAAAGCGGGACCCTAAAAGCGGGACCCTAAAAGCGGGACCCTAAAAGCGGGGCCCTAAATGCGGGACCCTAAATGCAGGACCCTAAATGCGGGACCCTCGCCTACGTGGTCGCTGCACGTGGTCGCTACCTGCACGTGGTCGGCGGTCAGCATAAATTGCTGCTGCAGCGAGCGCGCTCGACCAGCGCACCACGCGTCGAGCTCCGCCTTGCGATTGTCGTCGAAGCCCTTCTGCACCCTCCACGCCACCAGCCCCGCCAACACGCCCGCGCACGCCATCCACACCGCCACCGCCGCCGCAATTTGCGCCACCACCGCCCGACTCGACATCACCTTGGGAAACTTTTCTGGAGGTTTCATACCGTGTTTGAACGCCTTGGGTCACTACTGCCGCCTAGGATCTTCAAACTTCTATTTGCGAACCCTGTCGAGCCATGGCTATATCAACGGGCAACGCCAAAGTTATGCATGGCATGGTGTGTTTGAATCTGCTTTGGATACATGGCATGACTGTCGCAGTTCAGGGGCATGTGAGCAATGCACATGGCTTACGCTGGCAACAGCGGAGCCAGGGGGACATGCTCTCTTATGTGGCCTGCTGCTGCACCAAACGAGGAGATGGATGGGGCGGGGCCTGTGCAAATAGGGTACTAAAAATTCTGAGTGTCGAAACTACTAAGGGTGGATATGACTGGATTCCATTCGCAGGGCACTTTGGCCCCCTCCATTCCACCACCCAAGCAGGCTGCAGTTCACGCCCGTCTTTCAAAGAAAATCGTGGAGGTTTTGCCACGCCACACTGACCCTGGTCAGGGTGGGGGGCATGGCTTTCCTCCCACACTCGTCCTTCGCCTGGGGCGCTTTGTCCGGGAGCCAGCGTGGCAGCTGAAATATGACAGAACTGTTAGCCACCAGATACAGCGTGTAATTAAGGTGCAGGATTCCGCCCTAGGGACGAGCGACAGCCCTTGGAATGGATGGAGGATCTGTTTGTCACCTACAGTTCCCCAATAATGCACACACCGCCGAACCATTCAGGTCCTGATGGTGCGAATCCGTATTTAGAACGCGTTTGGCCCCGTGTCATTAACGAAACACGAAGATATCGACGATCGGGTACGTGACACATCGGCAGTTGTGATGACGTGTAGCATGCTTAACCGTCAGCAACCTCATGTCAGAGTTTCTGACACGGGATAAAAACCTCCTGAGGTCACCCGAATTCTTGAGTACGGTTCGGGATTTCGAAATGCAAAACCCGCAAATCTTTCCACTGGTTCCCGGGCGTTTCCGGGTTGTTAGGCCAAAATCCTGAAATATAAGATACAAAGCGGATGTCCTACGTTCTCGTTACACCTTGGTCTGGCACATTAGTTCGTGGTTCTGTCTCATGTAGTAGGCTCGAGGGAGAAGCCTTTTCCGCAGCGCAACTCAGGACACGCCCTTCAAAACACACACTACATTTCTCCTAAAATAGAGGCGTTCTGGCTTCAAAACCCGATGAGACCAGATTTCAAATTACAGTCGTAGTCCTCATCCAGGCTGAAGGACGGGTTGCTATGCCCGCCCGATATCAGGGAGTGTTCTTACGCGACACAAGGTCACGTGGCTTCGTGTCAAAACTGTTATTTACGGGCAAATTGAAAAAAATCTCAACTGACCCGAATCTCCTGACATCGTGTCGCTTAGGAACAAGCCCTAGGTCGACTCTATCCGATCCGCCCAAACCGTCCGTAGTCGAATCAGCAACTCTCCACACTACGATTTGTACCTTCAGCAGAATGTCCGCCTCGTTCCGTCCCAACAACAGCGACCCGCAGTTAAGTTTATCGGAAGTTTTGCGGAAGTTTTCCAAGGCAAAAATCCAAGGCGAAAACGGTGGGGAGGCAACCAGTAGTTGCACTCCATGTTGACTTCGTGACTCAGCTGCTCACAATACTGTACTATTGTGACTTCTGCGCTACTCAACATCTGTTGTCCCTCCCTAATGACCAGCAGAGGATGAATGCGAGGAGAGGACCCGATGATGGGTAGGGTGGACAGGGTGTCGGGGTAGGGGAGCGGCGGGAGGGTGGGTGGGGGAAATGGAAAAATCTCGAGTCGTTAATGAAATTGCTGGGATTCAATCGGGGTCATCTTACGCAAAATCAGATTTGGTCTGAAACCCACCGCGGTATTTCATTTACTGATAACGAAACCCTGATACACCTTGAGCCTGACAGAGAAACAAAGTTTTTCAGGGTGCCGGTACACAAAAACGCGCAGGGGTTTCGCACGGCATCGTCACGGGCATGTGGGCCTTTCGCACAGGCATGAAGGTTACCATTTTGATTTTTTGCGGGGTAGGTTTGAGTGGCATATTTTGGCGAACCATTGTTCACTTAGTTACCCTATGTTAATTTTCGACGCTTTTAAGCTTGAGTGAGTTTCCCTGGTGTAGCACCAGAGTGGTGGTTGGCAGGTGGGATGTTGAGTGAGTTTCTCCAAATTGGTTTGCTCCCATTTATACTCAGTGAAATATGGCGAGAGTTTGGAGTCGCATTTCAGTTCCAAATGTTAGGGGCGTATTCTAAATATTTCCTACATTATGTATTGAAAGTTCGTGTCGCAACAATAACTGCTGCGTGGATTCTGGGAATTTCTTTTCGAGACTGTTCATAGGTTGGCTGTCGGATGTTGAGAACGACCTCTGGCATAGGGGCATCGTGACTCCATTTCGCTGCCAAGTCAGCGTTCGGTTTCATGCGGCGATGCTCAAGCCACAAACAAACCCAGCGAGGCGTACGCACCTTTGCGAGCTCAACGAAAGGCTTGCTGAGCTTCACCGGAGCGCTATTCCGAGCGCGGCTGGAAGTTTGTGGCAAAAACGGTTGCGGCGCACATCTTTCGTCTTGTGCCGCATGTTTGTCACCACTGTCATGATAACGCTGCACTGTTGGCTTTGTTCACGGCCCACGTTGAGTGGGCCGTTGCCCTTGTGTCAACGCTAATGGGCGGTGGTTTCTTATTGGGCCACGTATTGCGCTGGGCCTTGGGTGTGCTCCAGGTGTACAACACAAGCAATAGCCCTTGCACTGGGCTCAACGCGTCAGCGCGTTACAGTTCCGTATCTGAAGCGATTCGATTACAGTACAGTCTGGGCATGTGGTTCAACTCTCTCGCCAGAACACGAAACCTGACGACAAATTACTGTGTACAGTAGCTGACCAAGCGTACACCACAAGCAGGAGCAAGCCACTCGAAGCACTTCATGTTCAATGGAACCAGCGAGCAAGGCTGGTTATACTGTACACCCTAAACCTCGTTTGTCTAAAATCATGTAGCATCAAAAAGCGGATACAGTCATTGCCAAGATTGGAGAAATAGAATTTCACATTGCCCTGGACCAGATATGGCTTAGTGTGGGAAAAACCACAGACCTTAACGGGTTGAGTTGCTGATTCTAGAAGCTCGTCGCGTAAACCCTCCATTCGGAACATTCTGTTTCATTCTGTCCATAGTTGACTGTTCGCTACAGTGCGCGGGTCTTTCTGGCTGTTGTGATCCCTTCCACTGTTTTTATTTGTATTTTTAACTCAATGGTTTCCCTCCACATGGGACCAAACACTCGTCACTCCAGAATACACCCCTACTTCTTCGGGGACTGGAGAAACACCCCTGGCGGTCGGCTACCCGGGCGGTCACGTACAATCACATTCCGAAAAAAACAAAGAAAACAAAAAAAAAACAAAAAAAAAACAAAACAAAAAAAAAAACAAAAAAAGGCAGCCAGCCTGACAAACACGCTTTATTCTAACGGAATTTAAGGTGTACTCACGGCAGTGGGCCACTTGGTTTCTCAGCACTGTTACGCGTGTATATCTCCTTACCGAGCTGTACTGTTTATCGCGTACACTTGAAGACCACTGAACCCTCGGTCCAGTACCAGACCTTTCGAACCGAACCTTCCCACTGTTCAAGACCTTCGGACCTAACTGACAGAAGTCCACCAGGCCTCTCAGCGAATCCTCAAGGCCCTTCGATCCCATGCTTGAACCTTCTCATCTCACGGTTAAGATAGCTTAGGTGTTTCTTTATATTGCCTCACCACTCATTGTATCGTCATTCAGTTATTCACAACTTTGATACTTCATTCCGCGCTACTCTGCAAGTTCACCCTTAACAAGCGCCTTATCTTTCTTATTCACAATTCCTATGCAATCGTTATGATCAGAACTGACGTTTCAGATCAAGCACTCTGAGGTATTCCCCAAATATTTTTTTGTTGGATCTGAAGTAAAATGTCCACAAAATATCAAGTCTCAGCTGTTGAAGGATTTCTTAGTCCAAAAGTCGTACACTCAGTCATAGTTGGCCATGCTGAGTTGATGTCTCATACAATTCTCGTCCATTTTGTTACAAGAAATCAACTACATGTACGCGAACCAGTTTCTCAAGAAACACTTCACTACACAGTCCCGAACATGATGGTTCTACATACTGTAGCTAAGCTACCCTCTACCTAGAAGTCTGGCGCATCGATGTGCATCTCTTCATCCGCCTCGTCATCTTAGAGGCAGGGGTTGTCTTCAATGACTTCAGTGTCGTCCACAGTTAGATCCTCAGCATCCTCTTCTCCATCGTAGTCATCATGGGTCTCGGTCTCTGGTTCTTTTCCCCCTGCCTCTTCCTCTAGCACCTTTCCAATGCGCTTTCGCTCATCTAACGCGTGAACCACACTCTTTGCAGGGCACCGATGCGTTATGCCCCTCCACACCTTCAGCGCTGCTGCCCAGTTGATCTCGTAGTCAATGAGGGAGATCTGTATCAGCTCCCCAAGTTGTGCGTTGCATAGCGCACCACGGACCCAAGACTTGATGACGCGAAAATCCACGCTTGCACTGCACCATCGAAAGGGGCTACACCGCCACATCCTGCCACATCCGCATAATGTTGGACCAACGCCTACATTAAGGGATGGAGAATAACAATAGAGATAGATACGGAAAAAAGGCAATACATTGTAGAGCAGTACAGTTATGGTGCATAACATTGAAGCAATAGGGACACAGATGCATTGTATAGTGAACCTTGTAGAGTACGCATGCTTCAGGAACTCCTTCAGGTGCTGGTGGAATCCCTCCCCCTTGTGGTGTGACTCCATGATAGTAAACCAAGTTGACAGCTCTCTCTCCGTAACACAGATGTCGAATCCGGACAGCTTTTGCCCGTACAGCCCATTGCAACCGTGGAGCCACTCGCGACACTTGTAGATGCAGTTGAGCTACCTTTGGCCCTTCTTCCACAAAACGTCTAGTCGCTCGTTCGTGAAGTTGATGCATTCGCGAGCGAAGTGCCCACACAACTTCTCGCAGTCAGGGAATGTGATGTTGTACGCGTGGCCCTCCAGATGCCGCTCGTGCATTATGTACTCGTGCATGATTGGCATGCCCTCTTTATCGACATCACAAACCTGGAAACGTTTGCACCCGCCGCGACCGTAAACTCGCAAGAAGCCACCCAACAAGTCCTTGTTTTCTCCTCCGAATGCTGCGCCACACTCGAGATAACACTGGTAGAGGTCCGCCGTTGTTTGATCAATCGTCTTCGTTATCTCAGTCACATCGACCTGGCAGGAGGGGCATGGGCAAGAAATAAGGACAGAGGCAAAACACAACGTAAGTCAATGCATACTCCAGGTAGGGAAATCTAACATAGAAACAGAGCTCACCTCATGCTTCTGGAAGAGGAGGTTGAGCTAGTTTATGTCGCCGAGGATGTAGGAGATGACGAAATCGTATAAGGGGTGGTCGTACTCATGCAGCAGGACATTTGCATGGCCAAGGACCTTACACAGGCGTCGGACAGCCTCACAGGGAGATAGCCAGCGAATGAAGTGAATTCCTTGGACTTCCACGTTCGTGTTGTGTAATACACTCTGCAGATAATCGAACCACTGACTCCAAACGCTTACGCAACCGAGAAGGTTGTACAAGATACG